AGTAGGCTGATTTTATTTGCCTTCTTATTCTTTTTAACGTTAATAATGTTTTCAAAAGTTTTAATGATATAAAAATTTGTTCTAAAGACTCAAGAAATTAAAACGGTCAAGATGGTATTAATTAATTCTAACTTTAAATTACTCTTTTTATCTATTTTAGTTTTAAATGTAATTTCAATTGTTTGTTTGTTTTGTTGTTTGTTTTGTTTTGTTTTGAAAATTTTAACAAACTTGGTTGCCACTCCTGGCCCTGTTCAAAACAAAATCAACTCAACTCAATAGCAATACAAGCGTACAAAATTCCCCGAAAACTAATGTTTCAATTTTGCCGAATTTGCTTGTAAACAATTCAAATAATGTAATTTAAATAATATGCTGGATAATAATTTAAGTTCCTGTTGTTGTGAAAGACGCTGCAAGGGATTAAAAGGTCTTAAGATGCATCAACGGTCCTGCAAAGTATGGAAACATTTTAATAAATCAAACAAGGCTCCAGACCAGCTGGTCGATTCCAACCTCAACTTGATGTCAACACCGCCACAACAACAGACCACACCATCGTCGTCAGTAACAACAAACAACACTTCTACAGTAATGCCTCTCCAAGGATTAAGACTCCCAAAAACAGTAGCACAATGGAAAGAAGCCAGCGCGTATTTTTATCTTCAAAGATCATCACTACCAAATGTGAAAAATATAGATGATTCTACGAAACACTTCCAGTCGTTAATCTACAATTATTTTGCGTCAGCTTACGGTATACACAGCCTCCAAACTGCTACCCCAAAAAATCAACAGAAATCAATAAAAGCGATGAAAAAGTACTTGAAACAGCTAAAAATACTAGGACGCAACAACCGACGGTTCGACGCTCACTTATCAGATCTAGGTAAAGAAATAAGAAAAAAAAATCGTTAAAAGTTGAAACAAACGCATCATCATTTTTTAATAAACAAACGCACTCACCAGTATTTCCTGCGACCTGATTGTGAATCCATAATTCAAAATGGCCGACAGCATAAAGGTTGCGTCGTGGTTACCAAGACAACTGCTCTGTTTCAGGAGAGAGATGATGAGTTTGATGGATTTGATTCCTTTGCTGTCCTGACGTGAGTTTTTGTGTTGTTGTGTTTTAGTTTTGTGGTTGTGTTGTTGCTAATTTTGTTTTGTGTTTTTGTTGTTGTTGATACTTATGTTGCAGTTGACGATGCTGTTGTATTGTTATGAATGATGACGTTGTTAAAGACGTTGTTGTTGCCGTGTGGTTAATTATGTTTATTGTGTTTGTTGTAGATGTCTTTCATGCTTCGGTTGTTGGTTTTGGTTTTATTTTTATATGATTTTATTTTGTTGTTATTTCTATTCGTTGAATGTTAATTGGTGTTCAAGGGTAGCAGGTTAATATTTGCTCTTCATAATATTTACGTTATCTCCTGTCTACTTTATCCGTTTCAATGTTGTTACGTGTGGTCGTTGGTCGTTTCTAGCTGGCGATGACGATCTTTTTTTTGCTTTTCACGTAATTTTTTAAAATAACGGCACTTTTTCCGTTTAGTTGGTTTGACTTAAGCCTGCTCCCGTGACTAACATTAGAACCGCCGATTTAAATGTTGACTGAATCCAACATAAATTAATAAAAATGACAAGCATCCTTGAAAACCCCGACATATTGAATAAATTATGCTTGATTAAGATGCTTTTTGGCTCCTCCCACCGTTATTTTAAATGAAATTTTGATCGTAAGACTCAAATTTTGTCACTATTAGTGCAATCTTAGTGCAAAGATTTGTATCTCAAAAATACCTAAGTTAATGTAATAAAATTAAATTTAAAATGAAATATAGATAAAGAATGGAAACCAACAAGAAGTGACTCAGCATGTCTGTAGATGTCGTCGGCGACATCTTCCCTGTAGAAGAAGATGCCATTGTAAAGGTACCTCTTGATCATGGACTGGACCAAATCGTAGTGGGTCAGTTTGGGGAACTCGTATGTTGGACACGTGTTGCGGTAGAATGATGAAGATGTTGATGAAGATGATGAGGAGGTGAAAGATGATGATGCAAGGAGGGGGTTTTCTTTTGCTTTGCAAGTCTCTTGGTGATAATAATACTAGTGTTAATAATATTTTTAAACTAAATTGATGATGATATTAACGGCGTTCGTGATAATAAAATTATATCGCCAATGGTTAAAAGACAGCGACAGAAAAGGTACAGCAAAACAACACAAAAATTTGAATTTTGTTGTATCACCTAGGTTAAATAACTCGTATCAGCAACAAACCTACAATAGACACACAGAACAAAACATCTGTTACTTTGCAAATTAGAAGTCTCAATTTTCTGAACAATCTTCCTTATAAAAGCACTGAACTGTTCGTTGAACTTGTAGCACTTGAACTCTCTGCTGTTCAGCCCTAACTTGTACATAACACTTTCCGCGTCCATTTTTGGCACCTTCAATGTGGAAATTAATATGAATAATAATAATAAAATTAATAATGGTAATAATATAAATAATAATTTAAATAACAATAATAATAATAATGGAAACGTCTTTTTATTTTCACAAAAAATAAATGCAAACCTATGTACATTAGTAAAATTTAAAACCAATGAAATCGATAATGTTCTTAATAATTGAATAAAATGATGTGAAAGCCAAAATAATAATAAGCTAACATTGTGAGGATGGATATTTTTCGTTCTATAGAATAAGGCCTTTCCTGTCAATAAAATTATTTTACATAAATTCACCCTCAGCATATTTTAAAATTAAACCGGCATTATTAACATTTATTATAAAGATGATGATTATCATTATTATTATTGTTGTTTTTGTGTTGTGGTTGTGTTGTTGTTGTGGTTGTGTTGTTGTTGTGGTTGTGTTGTTGTTGTTGCTGATGTTGCTAGTACTATTATTATCTGACCTATGTATCCACGGAAAGAATGACCTAGTTCGGAACCGCCGTAAACAAGGAGGCCGACAGTTTCATCGAAGTAAAAGGCGCTACTGTTTGATGTGCTAGAAATAAATCAATTGATGTCACGTGATGAGGTGTGGTTTGATCGGATGACACAATGTGAAGATGTCATTTTTGTTGATGTCACGTGATGAGGTGTGATTTGATCAGATAGAAGAATGTGAGGATGCCATTTTTGTTGATGTCACGTGATGAGGTGTTGAAGATATCATTGTTGTTGATGTCACGTAATGAGGTGTGATTTGATCAGGTGTGAAGATGTCATTGAAGTGTAGGTATGTTATGTCATAACGATGTCATGTTCCAAATGCAACCATCTAAGATAAGTAATAATGCAAAATCTTGAGTGTTTAAACAAGCATTTTGTGTTTGCGTGTTGTGGTGCAACATATTAAATGGAGCCAAGTAAGGAATGACAAGCAAGCAGTTTTGCGCATGGAAGAACTGCATTACAAAATAAAAATCATTTTCATTCCACTGAAAATTGTTTATAATTAACTCGCAAACATACTTCATCGTTTCTGTCCACTGAACTCGCCAGTCATTGCCATGAGATGCTGATATGTTGCACTGCGTTGTTGTTGTTGGGTGAAGGTGCGTGTTTAATTTTAAGTTAGTTTAATTGGTCAAATTAATTATTTCAAGTAAGTTTGTACCAAGTTTTTAATGTTGTAAAGATTTGTATCTCTTTTTCTTACAACCGTACCTTTCTTAATGACTCTTTATTATTCCTTGTGATGGCATGAGAGTAATTTGGGGAAAAGTTTTACATCCGGACACCCATCAGGACGACAACGACCAGTTATAAGCGGTGGGCCTAGCCTTTTGCTCAAAAGCACGCAAGGCAGCGTGGATGCAGTTTTATGTCATGCCCAGGACCAATCAAGATCAAGACTTTATAAATCTGTGATACGTCCGGTGTTGTTATATGGTACAGAAACATGGCCAATGACGACCAAACTGGAACAACAACTTCAACGAACCGACATGAAAATGCTCCGATGGATGCAACAAATTAGTCTGAAGGACCATATCAAATCCACCGAAATCCTGTGGCGTGCTGGTTTAGATGATATAAAGGACGAATGCCGGCAACACCGTCTGCGGTGGTTTGGTCATGTCAAATGAAGTAGAAACAGTGCCATAACTTTTCTTGCAGATGAAGTACCTGGCACACGTCCAAAAGACCGTCCAAAGAAGTCCTGGTCGCAAACAATCGAGCAAGACATGAAAGCTCTAAATTTAAATGAAATGGATACAACTGATCGTCTTATTTGGCGCAAAAAGTTGATGGCAAAGAAAACAACGGGGAACCGGGACTCTGGACGCAAAACGAAGATTGATTGATTGATACTCTTTATTATTCCGACTGCGTATCGTCAAGCGTAGAATGCTTGAAATTGCTCACTTCATAGCCAACAAAATGCGGTTGATTTTTTGCATATCGTGAAAGAATAAAAAATTTTACCGCTATAGTAATTTATCGTTAACATTCAATTTTATTATCAAATTAACAACAAAGAGTTATAAAATCACGACAGAAATAGATTCAATGCATTCAAACCTGGTTGATGAAACACGAGAGTAACAACATGGTCCAGGTGTGTTTGGGTATGATGTGATGGTTGGACGTAACGTGGAAAGATGATGAGCCATCTTCCATTATCAACTCAACCACTATTTGACCTGTTGCAAATATTCATGCTGCGTTTCTTATTCTCTGAGTTTTATACTTGATTTCATTAACGCGAAAGAGTGATCTTATTTTAAATTCAAATATATAATTGATAAAATGATGTAATAAGAAATTTATTGAATTTCGACAAATCTCTGTGGTACTTTGCTCGTGAAAAATTTATTTCTAGTTTCGAAATTTTTTTCAAAATTCGTCTTTAAATCTTACTAAAAAAATGGAGGAAAATTGTTTTAGTTTGGAAATTTTCTGAAAAACATCGTCGTTATTATATAAGACTCGGCTAATTTTAACCATTGATATTCAATTATTTTTAAAACATCATTTAACATTGAAGCCTAAAAATATTTTTCCTATTCCGGGTCCTAAATGAAACAAATGTTATGAAGGATTTAATAAAAAATTTTAATGGGAATAATTTTCTAGATGCATGCATGAATGATAGCAAACCTTGTTTATTAATTTGCAGTTGAGGAGTGGCGAAGTTGTCATTCCACGTGATGTGATGCAGGACGTTGCAGTCCTTGCTTCCGAATGGACAATATTCATCTACGTACAACCATAGAGCAAAAGCGAACCTGCATAAATTTATTTTGAAATATTTCAAAGGTTAAATGTTAGTGATGAAATATATCAATGTGAGTTTTTTTATGTTTTCAATCATGTTTAAATAAAAAACGATTGCAAAAAAGTAGGCATATAACAACTTCGGTTTTATTATAGCTTCTATCTGCTTCCTTCTCAGTGCGGGGTTGTTGAAAGGAGCATAAACACGATGAACGCCAGTGTGCAAGCCACCGAGTGCCACAGGGAAGTCAATTGCCGTTACAACTTCTACAAGGTTCGTTAAATTAAGTTTTTATAAAATTTTTACGTTTTGTTGAAAATTTTTTAATTCAAACATTTTAAAAAGGTTAACTTATTAATGCAAAATCATTTCAAAATTAAAAGTTCCCAGAAATTTTATTTTAACGTTTATAAATATTCTAATGTTGGTAAAAAAAGTTTTAACTGCAGAGTATAAACGATATAAACAATAAGCGATTGTTGTGATTTAGTTTGAAATTTTAAAAAACAACCTTCTTCATATGGACATGTTGGAAAATAGGGTAACTTGGAGATCAGATCATGGAACCAAGTTAAACATTGTCTTCTTGGTCGGTGTGGTCGATCGAATGGTTCGTTGATTTGCAAGCTTGTTGAGTAATGCACTGTGGACTTTTCAAAATATTTGTTCGTTTTTTCTTTTAAAATTTTTGTATAAGCCTCACGATCTAGAAGCCAGAATCTCAAAAAACCTTTGCAAGTGTAGACGGAATACCTTCAATATATTGTTCAATTTATAATATTAAAATGAATTCCAAAAGTTTGAAAAAGTTTTTATTTTCCACAAAATGGTTTTGACAATAAATTAAATGAATAAAATAAAAAACAAAGGTCGTTTTGGCAAAAATGTATAAATCGTACTTGTTTAGAAAACCGGGTTTGTAAGAAATGTATCGAGGTAATCGAAGACTAATTTTGTGTAAAATTGTCATACCTTCGCTTTGTCCATAACATTTTTTTATTTTTCTGAAGACTGTTACATTTTTCAGACTATCTGTATCAACAACAACCTCTATTCCGAGCAACATATTATCGAAACAAATGGATTCTAAGAGCACTAACGCATTTTCAAAATATCTTTTCGGAATTTGAACTACTTTTAAATTTATTTTTAAACTTGTTGCGTGGTTGTTGTTATCATTTTCATTTGTGTAATTGGATTGAATCCGGGATGTGACCAGATTGTCCAAAATTGGCGATTGTGTCACAGCGAAACTGTTGCCATCGTCTCCTAGCTTCACTGGACTCAAGGTTTTGCCCTGCTGAATTTTTTCATGCTTATTATTGCACAAGCATATAAAATTAAAATATCTTTTTTTAGTTTTTTTTCCAATCAATTTCAAAAAGTGGCTAAATAAAAAAGTTAACGAAAGAACTGCCCGCTTTTTTAACGAGCATAGTCTAACTCTGAGACATAAAAATGCCCAACGACTTTGTGGAAATAATTCAATTAAAACCTGTCTTACCATATTGACACACAAACCACTCACATACACACACACACTTACGCACACACCACGCAAACGTGCGCATACATAAACTGTAAAGAATTGTTAAAAAATATCACTGTTTTCAGCTTTAATCAGTTTCTGGTTCAATTTTTCATTATTTCGCTTCATTTTTTATCATCGTTTTTTTAACTTATTTATATAGAAAACAAATTTTGTAATTACTTTTTTATTATTTTTTATCTTATAAATGAATAAAAAATTAGTTAAAAACTTTGTTTTCTATATAAATAGGTTAAAAAAAACAATACTAAAAATACGATACGAAATATTAAAAAATTGAACCAGAATCTGATCAAAGCTGAAAATGCAGTGATTCCTTCTTAACAATTGAATCTACAAAAGCCTTAATCCTAACTGTAAAGAATGTATAAAATTTAACGTTGTTTTTAATTTGAGAAAACAATTAAACCAATAATAATATATGATTAAAAATATAAACAAAAATACGAAAAATATAAATTACTTGACCTAACATTAGCAACTAAAAGATTTCTAAAATTTGATGAACAATTTGGCATAATGTCAACAAAAACTGAATGTGGAGCAAGTTATAACTTTAAATTATTCAAAGTAACCTCAACAGGCAATCCGATCAAGACGATAACGATTATTATCAACCTGACAAACATAACTTTTGAGTATTCATTTTCAATTAAACCCCATTTTAGTTGAATTAAATTGAATAATTCAAAATATACGAATCCTCATTGGCCAAACAGGCAGGCACCTAACATGAAAATCAATTGGACACTGTGCTGATGATCCATCTTTAAATCGCGAACAATGCATAGCTATCAATCAGTTAGTAGTTTTGCAATAGCTCTACAATGGAACATTTATATATAGAATCACATTATACAACACAATTATACATGTTTTGTATACTTTGTATATATATATATTCGTATTGTATAAAAATACTTTACAAGATAAGTTGGTATTTCAACTTTGTATTCATTGAAATAACAATGTGAATCAGCTAGCATACGCATCGTAATGTTTTAATGAAACCGTAAGATGGCATGTGAATCTCGGAATGTCGTATGGAATCAATAACTAGAAATGGTTCATGATAAATTTTGATATTTAAATTTTAAAATTTCGAGTGAAAAGTTTTATGAGCCAAAAAGTTTAACAATTTGAATGAACAGCATTTTCGATGATTTCACCGCAGACGGTCATTAACATAACATACCTCAGAGCACTGCCTGTACGTTCCGCTTTTTTGAACTTCTTTGAAAACCCTTCTTTGACAAGAATTATTTATTAAATTGAAAATGAATATAACGAATATTTTTTTGGTCAAAGAAAATAGATACAGATTATTAGATATTTGATAGAATTTTGTTAGTCTGTTTTCATTGAAAAACATCCTAGGTTTATAATGAGTAAAATGTTTTTTTTATTAATATTACAACTAGATAAAAAAAATTCTGGTAAAATGATATAAGTTTTTGTTATTATTGGCAGAATAAAAATAAATAGAATGAAATATTTCACACAAAGTTACAGAAACAAGACAGAAATAGAATTAAAAATAGAAAATAATTAACGAACGCCCCAGAGCACATCGAGTTAGGCTGCCTGTTTTCTCTCATATCGCAGTTTTGTAATTTTCAATTTGTAGATCGTTTAAACGTCTGCGCTGGCTGGCGGGAAGGTCGTGAGATAATCTTAACATCGTTCACTTTTCGGCGCTCATTTCCACGATAAGACAGACACGCAAGCCCAGACTTAAACGCGTCATAGAAATCAAAACAAAACATTACCTCATAATATATAGCCCTCCCTATCGACATGTTTTACATTTTTTTCTTTCCTCTTTGTATCTGTGTTTTAGTGCACGCTTGTTTATTACAAGTTCGATTTTTCAAGTGCGCATTCATTCATTCCTACATTTAACTGTTGTGTTGAACGTTGTTTGCATTCAACTATCCATCATTTCATACAACATTCACGAATACTCTTTTGGCTAATATTTCAGTTGAACCCAATATTTTTTATTTTAGGCAAAACCACAAAAAATCATACATCAAGGTACATTTATTAATTTCATTAGACACATTAGCACGCACATCAGCGCACAAGTCTCCATCACCTATCAGAATTTTAGTTTAAAAAAAGATAAGATAGATAAAATATAATGACGACAGAAAAAATTTTTTTTGTCTGTGTGTGTGTGTGTGCGCGCGCATTTGATATATTTAACAATTCAAACATTCTTGACTTGTTAAATAAAACTGATAGAAAATGTCTGATGCAACAATGAAAGAGCGTTGCATGAGGAGACTGACAAAATGCGTGCTGGTATTTAAGCGTGCATTCAAAACTAAGTGTCTGTTTTTTGAAAGTAAAAAAGTGATTTCTTATATGAAATATCAATGGCAAAACAATAATGAATAAAATTGAATGGAGAATGTTTCAAACGATCACTCGTGTGAATTGAAAGCAGCAGCAAAATTGTATGAGGGCTGCTGTATGAAGAAATTATGTGCATCCATGTATTGTAAACCATTTCAACATTAGATGCCATGTTAGCAGACGTCCGAAAAACAGGTTTAATTTGCTGGTTGCCAGCAACTCCTTTACTACACACATTCTCCATTCAATTTTATTCATTACACACAATTAAATAGTGTTTATTTAAGAAATGTTGGACCAAACAGAAGGTCAAACATTGATACGCTATGCCAGCTCAACAAATGAAAACAGAATGTCAAACATGAACCTAAAACGTTAATCTTCATAATTTTTGAAGAAAAATATTTGTTTTATAACGTTTATTAAGACTGCGTAAGAAATATTATGCAAATATTACTTTTAATTATAAGAACATTTTTCAAATAAAAACATATTGCTTTCTATTAAATTATTCAGTTCCGATTTGACTCGATGAATACATAAGCCAAAGCGTAATTTAATTTATATTACTAATTAATTAATTCATTTAATTAAATTATATCGATCTTATTAAATTATTGAATAATCAGACTACAAAATTATTAAAAACTTTTAAGTAGTTTACAATACAGTCACACCGTTAGAATATGAAATTTTATTCAATCAAATTAAATGTCTGGAGATATTTGAACTAAAATGTTGACAATGTTTGTGCCATTGATAACAGTCCTTTCAAACTCCTACTTAACACTCATATTGAATGCTGTGCGTGAAAAGTTTTAAGATTTCACCGCAGACGGTAATTAACATAACATACCTCATACCATTGCTGTACGTTCCGCTCATTACTGGAGGTCATGTTTACAGGTATCGGGTCCAACTAATGGCTATTGCTATTGGATGTGGTTGACATAAATAATGATTTTGTGTTGGTATTTGTGGACTGTCGTTTCCCGTCATGGGCACCGTGGCTCCACTCTTGTCATGTGAGGGAAACGTTGGTGGTATGAAGCCAAAATTATTCTTTGGTTTTTTCAACTTCTTTTGCCGTCCAGGAATATTTCAACTGGTTTTTCATCACTACCGTCTTTTGGTTGTTCAGCAAGTATCTAATCAGTATCAACATTTGGATGCATGAAATATCCATCAGTTCGAGCTGAACATTTGATACCCATCAACAGTGTTCTTTAGTTTGTTGTAACACTTTTTTTGATTCAATTCTTTTTTTACCAATAGATTTTTATTCGTTTCAATCTAGCAAATATCGTCACATCTCCGAAAGTCCCATTTTATAAACACCTTCTGCCAGCTTCCAGTCAATCGCTGCCTCCACACCACATCCAAATAATCGACCTCGCGGCTGCTACGTGTTCCAATTGCAGTTTCTCTATTTCATCTCAGTTCCAATAGCTGTCGTGTGAAGATCTATGGTATTCTTCTAAAGGTGGCTTCAACAATATGACATCAAATTTTTGATCTAATTGTTGAAGATCGAATGTTTGCAGATCGCATTTCAAATACATAGGGGGTGTGCTGGTCTGTTGGACGAAGGCATCCTTCTTTGTGATTAACTTTTTCAACTTGGGATGACTTTTGAATTTATTCTGCAGACCAGCATCTATGATGAAATTTTGTGGTCTCTCCCCGGTGTCGATAAAATTTTGGCTGTAGTCATTATGAGGCTCCTCACTTGGTGTTCCCTTTAAAAATGAAATTGAATTTTTGAATATTTGAGCTGATTTGAGCCATACGGATTTTGAGGGTTAATGACTGACCTTGAATTTAATGCATCTCCGTTGCTTTTCCTTATTTTTTCATTCTTTCAAGTTCATTTGCATCTATTTTTCCACAACCATTTAATTTCAAATATGGAGCTAGCATCAATTTCCTCTTTGCAGTAGTAGCTCTTCTATTTATCAAAAATTTTGCATACGACTCCATTTACTTTATAAGTTTTAGTTATGCGGCTCGTTTAAAGAGATGATTCATTTAGTGTAGTTCGTTTTTCTCTTATTTATAAGTCCAGAAAGCATGAAACAAAGTGAAATTCAACAAAGAAAAATATGTGAAGTTTAAAATATAAATATGCCAGTAAATATTTCACTTTGTTTTAACAAAATAGCCAACTCGACATCTAATTACTAACTTTAATAACATTGGGTGAAATAAGAGTGACACTAAAAAGGATGACTAAGTAATTAACGCTTGTTAACTAAACTTCTTTTTCTTTTTTTTAAGAATTCAGAGTAATCAGGTTACACTGAATATTATTTGTAAAAATTGTAATAGGCCAATTTGCACGATGAATTAAGATAATAATTTAAATCTTAAACTATTTCCAGAAAACTTCAATAAGAAAAACCGAACTACAAATTTGTCAATGTTAACAACTCGGCAGAATTCATACAACACTATTTAAACTATGGTCCCCTTCCTACATTTACATGGATACGTATCATTCAGCTACAAGAAATATGTAGGAAATTATTTATTTAAGAGAATATTTGATATGACTAATTGCTGAAAATTACCAGAATAATTCTCTAATGATCGACGAATTATACAACACTCCATCTGATCTGATATATTGAAGAGTATCGATATTGGATGGTAATTAATGAGAGTTTAAAAATTATCAAACGAGTCGTTCTGTATGTCTGCTGATAAAATAGTTTTTTAGGTGCTGAAATGATATTAATTGGACTAATTATAGGAAATTGAAGTATTCAAGATTTATTAATGAATAAAAATTTATCTTTCAAAATTAGTGCAAATTTATTCTCGAATATTCTAAAAATGTTACAAAATTTATCGAAAGTTTATTTCCTATTTTTGAGATTTTTTTGTAATTTTTGCTATAAAAAATATAACGAAATAAAAGTAATACATAATTACGGTTATAATTTTTTGGTTGCAATGATAAGAGTAGTTGCTTCTATAAATATCAAAATAAGCTTTATTCCGTTTCTATATTTTATTTACTTATCTTAATATCAATCAATTATTATCACATAAATCACTTCGAAATTATATAACACACACACACATATATATATATAAATATATATAAATATATATATACATTCATATATATGTATATATGAAATAGGATTGCGTGACATTGCTGTTGCTGGCTGGATGGTTTGGAACGCTCTTCCGAAGTTGCTAAGAAGACCTGAAAATTCCTTGAACAATTTTAAAAAAGAATTGAAAACGCATTTATTTTCTTTGGTTTAACATTTAGTTGTTTTTTTTAATCGTTCACTTGTATACTGTTTTATTTATGTGAGTGCTTTTGAGATTTTTTATTTAATTAGCGCTATATAAATGAACATTAATAATAATAATAATGTATATAATACAATCGACCACATACACAACGTATCAATTCGAATACCGAAGATGGTCTAGGAATATCGAAAAGAGCTTTTTTGTTCTATCATGCTTAAATGTTCTATCAAGTTTAAAATAAATTAAGATTTTGGTTTTGAACTCAAGAAACTTGACAATGATTTACGACCTACCGTTAGAAAAATCGAAAATGTAAACAACTAACGCGGAACATGCTATGATTTTCATATATATATATATATATATATATATATGTGTGTGTGTGTGTGTGTGTGTGTGTGTGGTGTGTGTAAACTTTTGCGTGCGGCGGAATTTTTTCTCGGTTCGAATATCACCAAATCATATTTTTACATGATAGAAAAGCAAAACCAGGAGAAAAATAAATTAATGAACACAGGCGTATGTGCACACAGTTTGCTGGTATGCATTGATAATGTTATGTTGATTAATACTACCACTGATGATAAAAATACTTTTCCAGTAAAAAATATTAGGCTACTATCCATGCAATTCATACTTAATGCAATTCATTCTACAGCCAACAAATTCACCAAGTAGCAAATACTAAAATTTCTGGTTAATTTTTTTCCAATTGTTGAAAATGTGTACTTAATTAATAAGACATTAATATAATTGTAAAAATTGTATTGTATTTGATAATTTGTATAATTGTATAACGTCTTTCATGAAAAACGTTAGAGGCACAATTTTACAACTTATTCTTCTGCCAAAAAAAAGTAAATTTTGCAGAATTATTATCACAACAACAATAACAACCAAAGCACTAATAATAAAACAATAATAAATATCTGCAGGCATCGTTTCATTTCACGAAAGCTCTTATTACTATATAAAAAATTGTTGAAAAACAGTTCACTGCACTATCTCTATTCTCGTGACTACGATGGGTAAAAATTAGTAAATTTGTTACTGAATCTTCATGTAGAAACCAAATGTATGACTGCTGTCACATATATACAGCACACGCATGGAGGAAAGTAATTGTAGAAACATTAACAGAAATTGCAATGCAATTAATTAAACATTTACATAGACCAATATTATAAATAATTCTCAAAACTTGCGAGATAAAACAGCATGATCGAAAATAAATTACCTGCATATCTGCACCAGTATGTGTATTTTTACAGACGTGAGGTCGAGATAAAAACTAATAGTTAGATATTGTTAAGCATGCATCGCTTGTAAATTAATTGGAAGATGTAAAGTAATTGAAATGGTTGTAAATTCATTAATGGACGTGGCACTGACATTTGACACATATACAAGCAGACCGGTAGCTATATGAAAAACGCAGAAGCGAGATTCAAGAGAGAGAGAGAGAGAGAGAGAGAGAGAGAGAGAGAGAGAGAGAGAGAAAGAGAAAACGAACGAAATAGAAGGAACGGAGTTGACGTAGAAGTGAGATTTGAAGCAAAGTCGTAAATGTGATTTACGTAGTTATTTGGATTAAGTTATTGTTTCTATTACTGCTGGTATTAAATAAACGTTCAACTTAGTTTGCTTTTAAAGTAGTTGTGTTTATATATCGGAAATCTTGAACCTACGGATAAACGAACCCTTGACTATTGTTGGAAGCTACAACACGTTGTTGGAAATATAGCGAGTATTGAAGCTATAACATCGGTGTTGGTAGTTACGAGGTCGTTGTAATCTTACAACACTGGTGCCAGAAGTTGGATCTTCAGGAGATTACAATACTGGTGTCAGAAGGAAGATTTTGATAGCTGAAAACTCACTGCAGTAAAGAACAAGTTCAAGGGGTCGGTTATAACAGTATGTTTGTACGTGAAATGTATGTGTGTACGTATGTGTGTGCGTGGGACGTGTGTATGCGTGTGAGCATGAATTTGTATGTATTTGTGTATAAATTTTGATTTTGGATAATAACAGAGCTCACAATGCAGAACTTCAAACATAGATTCGAAAAAACTAGAATAGTTTGTCTTTTTAGGCAGTCTCAGTTCGGGAGTGACAGAATTTCTCAAAAGAAATTCAACTAAGAAAAGTCATTACGTGAGAAATATTTGTGTTGTTAAAACGATTTTTAAAAATGGTAATATATCAAAAGAAAACTGTATACAAGCGAAACTTAGATGATAAAAAATATAGACAAAGAAAGATTGGGAGCAGTTGAATTGTAATGCTACGAAGAATTGTTTGGCAATTGGAGATCAGTATGAACACGAATGGCGAGAAACGAAACCATAATAAGCATGTCTGGAAAACAAAAATGTAAAGGTCAAAGTGAAAATTAAGATTCGTTGGACATATCTGTACTGATGAGAGGGAGAAACAGGTAGAAAAAAGTTAGAAATCGTGCTAAAAATGGGTGAATGACATTACAGAATGCACCGGAGTGGCAATATTGAATTCAGATTTTGAAAATCTACAAAAGGGTTGGCATCATTGACCTCTACGTTCTCTCAAGAGGTTAAAAAAGATTATAGATTGATTGGTTAACTGATATGAGTAAGTATATTATAATAATTTATTAATATACCCACATAAGAGGCGCTATATACATCATCAAATGTAAAAACATATTCATGCAAATAAATTTAGGGTGTGTTGAATATGAATATTTATTTGTTCATGTATGAATATGAATATTTATTTGTTCATGTATATGTATACTTCCATGTGTTTTGTATAGATATATGTATGCATGTATGCATACATGCTTGTATGTATGTATGTATGTATGTATGTATGTATGTACGTATTTATGTATGTATCTATGATGCATGTCTATATGTTTTTATGTAAGATTTGCACGATCATTTATTGCCATATTTTTTTCAGCGGTTAATAAATGTGCGTCATGAATATGATACGAACTATTTTTCCGTACAAGATATATGATATATGATATTATTATTTCCACAAGAAGCATATCATCTTACATGGAACTCATTTGATACGCCACATTTGTTGTTTACCACATTTATGATTTTTGTTCTCTTTTGTTTTTAAACTACAGATAGATTTCTTTAGGAAAACATTACTTATTTACCGCACGATTAATTTGTTAACGTACAAAAAAAATTATATATATATATATATATATATATATATATAACTTATGGAACAAAGGTCTTGAACTTTAAAAGTTTATATAACATTATTTTTTTGCACCAGAATGAAACGTTTTTTTTTCAAAAATAAGATGATTGAGCGCACGGAGCAAGCACATCATCGTCGTCGTTGGCATGATAAATGAATGTAGATAATTGCTCAGACGTGGTTTTCGTAAATACGTCTTACTCGGATCGCTTGATGATTTGAATTATTGCTTTCGTCATTATTTCATCTTTAATTTTTTAAACGTTGAAGCCACATTTAATGGTTTTTATTGTTCGGCACTGATTTTATTTTTTTTTTTTTTATAAATTTTCTTCTGCTTTTCAATTAATCTAATAACTTTTCTGATTTATCAATAATATTCTTCTAATGAAAGTTTCACATCGTAATGAACTGCTAATGATTTATCTCATTAATCCGCTGTGATTAAATTACATTAAATGCAGCGCCCCAATCCAAATCTTATATGCTTCAAACGAATTGTGGTGCTAGCTACACTGTTTGCAAATTTAAAACATTTTGAAATAAAAAAGGTATAAAAGCTATAGCATCGATCACTCAAATACAGGCAGACAAACTTACAAACACGCAAAAATATAAACACACACATGCACTCACGCTTAAACATATATATATATATATATATATATATATATATATATATATACCATACAAATTTACTTAACGCATATTGGCTGATGTTTGTTGTATACTTTCATGTCTTATATAACTATTGCTAGTCATGTATAAATGAAAAGAATTAAACTCGATATGATGAAACATCAGTGTGAATTGTCGTGTGTGGTTAGTTTTGTAAGAAGTTATTGAAGGATACCGATTTCCTCGTGGCTTAATTTAATTATTTGCAGATTGGCATTGGAGTGTTGGTACTTTTTCAAATGTGATTAAAATCTTTTCATATCGTATATAAAGTTAGTGGATATTTACGAATTTAAAAAAAAATTCAATTAAAAACTTTACAGTGTAAACTTAATTTGAAACGTAAAGAAGATCGAACTTGCTATTGTTAATCGGTTATTGTGGACACTCTTAAAAAATTGTTGAATTACTTTCGTCAAATTTCAATCCGTCATCAAAACTGTACGATGCTTTACTCAGCTGTCACGTAAATTATGAAACGTTAGATGTTTATTTAAAATTCAAATAAATGATATTCAGTGATTCAATAAAATGTTACTGATTTATCTATTTTTCGGAACATATACTACTGATTTAACGAACAATCGAGCAATATTTGAATGAAAACAGATTGAATTTTGCACCAACATTTGCGACAAAGTTGTAATTAGAAACAATTTAAATAACGTTTTAAGAAAATGTCTTCGGCCGTCTCGCGTGGTTGCCTCGCCGTTGTACATACTTCTCTGCTCCTCTACCTCATAATCCACCTTCAAACGGCATTCACCAAATTTCACGACGAACCCAGAGGCACCAAACGAGGAAATAACGGTGGCAATCGAGTTTCACATTTCTACAACTTCCCACCTCCAAAAGTTTTACCGGTGAACGTCATGAAGGAAAAATTGGGAAAAGATCTCAATTTGGAGTTTTCGTCCTGGGAGCAACGAAGAAATTCAACATTATCTCCACGACGCGCTCCTCCTAGAAACTCAGAAATTCACCAAGAAATTCAACGCTACATGAACAACTTGGATTTCACGTACGAGGACGAAAGGGGCAACATTCAAAACATGAGGGCAGAAGTTAGAAAGGTTCTCGAGAGGTGGTTGTTGACGCAGCACGAATCCAGCTGTCGAGTGAGGCAGACCTGGTACGACATGGGACCGATGTTCTGGCCAAGGTACATCAAGCAGGGAGAATGCGAGGACGATGATGGCAGTGCGAACAATGTTCCCACGTGCTCCTGGCCGCCTGGAATGCACTGCGTGGCCGCCAAAAGTCACATCATCAGATTACTAAATTGGAATTGCCGGAGACAGGACGATGTTAAACATTTAGCGAGTTGGAAACGCCACAAACGAAGCTCTACTGGTGATGTTCAAAAGTTGGATAAGTCGAACCACCGCCAAGTCAAGTTTCGAAAATTCAAAAGAAGTCAATCGAGTCAACAATCGCAAATGAAATGCAAGTGGAAGAAAATACCATATCCCATAACGAAAGAATGCTTCTGCTCTTGTTAATTTGTTGCAAATAGTTTTACACACACACACACACACACACACACACACACACACACACACACACACACACACACACACACACATATATATATATATATATATATATATATATATATATATATATATATATATAGAATAGAATATATATATATATATATATATATATATATATATATATATATTAAAATGAATGAATTTGAACGGTGAAATTTGATATCTACAAATGAATGCATTTCAAAGTCATTTTCACAGCATTTTACTACATGACTCTAGCAGCTTAACAAATTTAAAATGTACAATATGTATTACGTGAGAACATGTTGTGAGATCAGTGTGTTTGTGTGTAAATACCTTAGATCATATCCATGTATGTGCGTGAAAAATTTAATAACAAATGTATCGTACCAAACCGAACTTCAAACAACAAGTCTGATGTTAATTTTTTATTCTTGTAAAAATAGTTTTAAATTTCAAAAGTGTGTTTTATTTGTTCATAAATGTGCATAGTCCTTAAATTAAATGTCCCTACATTTTTTTTCATCACCAGACATCCATTGAAAACTTTTTTATGATAATTTTTATGACCAACATCATAGCCAACCGCTGTCGTTATTGTTGCTGTTGTGTTAATATCGTTAAATTAATTTTTTATTTCGTTGTTCATTGTGATACTGTTGCCTATTGTGCTACATGCCATTTAAAAAATCGACCTTACCATCGCAACAAAGATCGTTTCATACGCATATAAGTATTATGATATGAAATTTAATTTAGACATATCATCAAATATATAATCTATCATGCATTTTTAAATAAATTTTTTGCGTGTGTTTATATATATATATATATATATATATATATATATATATATATATGTATATATATATATATATATATATATAAACACACGCATTGGATTCATGCATTCGAATAATTAATTAATTTATTTAATTCATTCGTGTAATTAATTAATGACTAATTAATAAGTTAATTAACTACATCAATCATTCGATCTATCAATTCACTCATTACATTTAATTTTAGTTTACTCATTTCAGTCATTCATTCGTCTGAATCATTAATTTATTCATTCGACTCATTCATTTGATTCATTCATTTGATTCATTAATTTGTTTTCATTCATTTGATTCATTCAGTGATTTACAGACGTCAGCTCACTGAGAGCTTAGTATGATAACGATTTTAATCTTTGTAGTAGTAAAAAATGATAAACGTTGATATTGTTGTCATCATCGTTATCAGAAATTGATATCAGTTTGAAATTTTCTAATTTGACATTTGAGTATCACCTTACACATACGTACAAACAGATATCACAATATTGAATTCTCAGGCGTTCTTCAAGCCAAACAATAAATAACTACTGCATATGTGTATCTCTTCTGTACAACACATGCATTCATTGAACACATCTACTCATTCATGAATTTCATTTATAATACAGCAAACTATTATTGTTCTAGATAGGTCAGACAAACTAAATTGCGCACATCATTTTTAATTATATTTCTTGTAAGGATGTAAATAATAATAATAATGATAATGATATATTAATATTTATTAATAAAATAGAAAAAGTTAAACATAAAGTAAAAGTCTGATGGAACAGAATTTCTTAAAAACTTACATTTATTGACCTGCAGTGATCTTTTTACATAGAAATGTCTGCTCATTTGTTTGAACGTTCAAATTGATTTTAATCCTGTACACATTTAAAGAGAATTCGAATTTATCTTTCAACCAGAACCCAAACATTTGAGGCGCCTACGTTGATAATGAAATGAGCTACTAAATTAGACCCCAGCGATAAGTGCGTTCTTGAGCTTTTCTACTTTTTTGATTTAAAAAAAATTTATATTAAAATCCAGGCTTTTCATTGTTAGAATCCCTTTCATTTTTGTGATACTAATTTAAATAAGTTTGATTAATTAAAGATAATGAAACAATTGAATATTGAATACAATAAAAAATTGAATGTTAAAATTCATATTAAATATGCGATTGATTTCTTGTAATTCGTGCATAATAAAATACAAATAAAGCAGCACTTGAAGCCTCTGGTGTAACGAGAATTGCTTTTTTTTCCAAATGTAACTTCAACTTATATACAACAAATTTGCGATGAACAAAATTTTGATATAAAAATAAATTTTCATTTTAAAATATAATATACCGACTGAGAACCGACATCAGTTTCAGTCGGTTCAATAAAATTGTTACATCTCTAACAAAAATATTTCGAAAGATCGTGTTGATAGTTCGTGAAAATATTATAAGTGGGTTTTGGCTTTTAAATTTAAACAAAAGTTATAATGTCCCAAAATGGAGACGAAAACCCGCCTCGAAATAACGACTCAGTGGACTTTGTGAACGAATTAGGCAACGATTCTAGTGAAGATGGCGATGTCATTATTGCTCGTGAAGCCTGGGTAAATGAAGGTGAAGAAGAAAATGCCGAGGACGAAGAAGACGATGAATTTGAATCTTTCGAAGATGCAATTAGTAACGTTCCGAGCGATGGCCGGCCAATGGAAGGGTGTCAACATTACATTTGCAGATGTGCTTATGTCGTTAGTAGTCATCTTTGTTGCTAAGTTTTTTATTTTTAAAATTAGTTAATTAACTGGTTAACTACACAAATAAATTAACGAATAATAAATAAATTACTAAATAAATGAATGATTAAATTAATTAATTAATAATTAATATTATTAGGAATACAAACAAATAATTATAAAATATAAATATTCAGTAAGAATAGATAGTTTATTTTAGTAACTACTAAAGTACGAAGACTAAGTAGTGCATGGCTATTGTATAAAATAAAATAAATTAAAATTTACAAATTTAGTAAAAGTAAATTGAAGTAAGTGTAATTAATTAATTAATTTTATTTATTTAGTTGATTAAATATGAATATTTTAGACATTAATTTACTTTACTCTTTTACTTTACTTTACTTTCTTAATTTTTCCTTATTACTGATTAATTAACTAACAAATAAATCACCTCTGAATTTAATTGATTAATATTTGAATATTGTAAAATTAGCTTTGCTGACTAATTTAATATTAGTTTAAATTCATTAAAAAATGTTTTATTACTAAACTAATTATCTAATACACTTTAATTTTGTTATGTTTTTTCATTATTAAGATGACATATAATTATTTAAAATATTATATTTTCAAATTAAATAAAAAATATTTTCAATTTCCTGTATTTATTAGGATGACATAAATATTTTTAAACATTATTGTATCAAATCAAATAAAAAAAGTAAAAAATTAATAACTAAAATAAAATAAAATGATAAATCTCTCACAGTCTCCATGCTGCAAAAAGATCTATGTTTGTAGATTGTGCCACGACGATGTCGAGCAACATGAAATTGACAGATTTGCCGTCCAAGAAATAGTCTGCCTCAAATGTGACGAACACCAACCTGTTTGTAATTCTTTTTTTAATTTCTTTTAGATTATTATTTGTTAAATTTATTTTTAATGCTTTCAATTCAATGTTCCAACTTTTTCATTTTAATTTTTCACTTTTTCATTTGAAACCTTTTTGTAATTTTTTTTGATGATTATTTCAACTACTTTATGCCTTAGATTTATTTAATGTCATTAATTTTTTTGTCATCCTGATCATCTGTTATATTATTCTTATTTAAATACAGTGTTTGGGCTGATATTATTTAAAATTAATTAAAAATCTTTATTTTGCTAAATTGGATATTTTTAATTAATTTTTTTTCTAGATACGAAGGACGTGTATAAAATGTGAGGTAGTATTTGGCAATTACTTCTGTGAGATTTGCAGACTGTACGATGACAATGACAAGAAGCAGTTCCATTGCATGCAATGTGGTATATGCAGGTCTCTTATTTTTTTCTTAATTTTGTTTCATAAATTCAGTTTAATCATTTATTTGTTTATTCATAGATTTCAATTATAAATAATATTTATTTATAAATTCTGTTTAATCATTTATTTATTTATTATATATATATATATATTTATTATTTATATTTATATTTGTTTGGTGATTTTATTTTTCCTCAAAAGAATCGGTGGTAGGGAGAATTTCTTTCACTGCCCTAAATGTGATATGTGCCTCTCCATTAATATCAAAGATTCGCACAAAGTTATTTTTTTTTATTAATTTCATTATTTTCTGAATAAAATGTATAAATATTTTCATTAAAATAATAATTAATGGTTGAGAATTAGTTAGAGATAAGAATATTTTTCAGCACTTGCAATAATTACTATAAACAGCTATCAATTATTTAATTTCTTGTGTTTCATCTACACTAAACTAAATTAATATTTTCAAAATTGAATAAAAATTGCAAGTAAATATGGTTAAAATTGAGTTTTGCTATAACGTTTGAGGGGTCTCAAGTGAAATTAAACATTTTTTTTTAATTTTCAAAATCGCCTGACAGTGTGTGGAGGGTGTATGCAAATCCAATTGTCCAGTTTGCATGGATAACCTACATACAACGCGTGAAAAGTTGAATGTCCTTCCATGTGGACACATCTGCCATGAGTTAGTTGGTTCAACACTTTTTTTGGCTTTGTGTGCTATAGATTTGTTGGTGTTTCGTTTTATCTATAGATTTATCGTGTCTCCTCTAATTTATTTTCATTTGTCCTATAAAATTTTGGTTCAGTTTTGTTGAATTAGATTTTAAGTATGTCTTTTTTGGGTTTTTGTTAAATTTTTTACTTGAAAATTTTATTATAACAAATATTTTAAATAAGAATTTTACAGCCACCTATTGATTTAATTTTTGGCAGACGATGCTTTACAAACCTCTTCAAATCTGGGTAGGTTGAGATTAATTGAGCTAACTCATTCTATATCTTGCTTGAGTTTGATATTGAATTTTTGTAATAAATAAATTAGTATGTTCCTGTTAATCTTTTAAAATTTTAGCACTTACAATAATTCGTCCATTTTCTCCGACCCCTTATTGTGCATTCTGTAGTCTTTAAATGTTGCACATACACTACAGTATTTATGCCTGCCCGGTTTGCTGCCAATCAATGTGTGACATGTCTCATCACTGGCGGGTTATGGATATAGAGATTGAACAAGTTGAGATGCCGAACGAGTACAAGGACAAAAAAAATTGGATACTCTGTAGAGATTGCCACAAGGTTCATTTTTCTGTTTTTTTAATTTTTAATTCATGTAAACAAAAATTCATTTTGGTGAGGTTGGATTAACCAAAATTCATGAAGTGAATATTTCATTGTATTATATTTAATAGATTGTATTGAAATTGCACATGATCCAGGAATGTGATACCAAATTCCATGTGATAGGTCTCAAGTGCTTGCATTGTGGTTCCTACAACACTTGTGGCGCAGACAGGCCTGCTGGTGCTGATGCTGCTGCTGCTAATGCTACTACTGCTCCGACTACTACTTTTACTAGTACTTCTACAACTACTACTCCGACTACTACTACATCTACTAGTATTACGGCTACTACTACAACTTCTAGTACTACTGCCGCCTCTACGGCTACTACTGCAACGTCTAATACTACTACTGCCACTACGGTCACTACTGCAACTTCTAGTACTACTGCCGCTACTACGGCTACTACTGCAACTTCTAGTACTACTGCTGCCGCCACTACGGCTACTACTGCTGATGCAACTGACCCACCGGATACTGAATAATTCGTCAAAATGAAATGTTTAGATATTATTCTTGAAAATTTATTTGAACTTATTTCTTGATGATTTATTTTGTTTTTTGTTTTGTTCATTCGCACATTTGTTTGACGGATCTATCAGCATAGCTATCTTTTTCAACACTAGTACATGGTTTGTTTGATGTTAGATATAATGATAAGGAGTTATGACATCTGGTGTTAATTTTTTTAACGGTGATATCATATTTCTAAAAACTTATTTAATTATATTTTCATAAGATTTTTCCTAAAAATTAGGTTTAATATTTAACTTTGGGAGTTACGAAATGTATGAAACGTAGATGTGTCGTTTTGTTGGAAGGAATTTTGATGATATAAAAGTTTTTGTGCCAATGAATGGTGATGATGATAATAATTATTATTTTGCTATTGTTATCAATAATATCATTATTGTTATAATTATTAATGTCATTATTTATTTTTGTTATAATAATAATATTTATTATTATTGTTGTTGAATAAGCTTCGACTTGTCGGCATTTGATTTTATGATTTTCAAGTGGCTTTAAAAATAAATCAGTAGATAACGACTTATTCGTGTATTTGAATTTTTCAACGATAAAATTAATTTGATGAGAGGAAGAGTTTACAATTTTTTTAATGAGACTTTCATTTCGGGATAAAAAAAATATTTGGCTATATTTCATATCGGCATCTGCGTTAAACGTCAGAAAGCACATACATACATTTAATAAATTGAACGGTTGATAATATGAACTAAATTCATAAGACTTACGAGAGTTCTCAGTTAACTCTTTTAAACGTTTGGAACATATCTCTGATTAAGTCCGATCTGTTTATGTACTTAAAATTGATGATTTAATACATTTAAATGCATTTTATGTTATGTTGTAGCTTGAAGAGTCTTTTTTGGTCACGGTTGAAGAGCGGTTAAATTCATCGAAGCCGTCACTATTGCGTTGGTTTGAATGTTTTAATCTGTCATACTCGATGTTCATTCTTATCAACTCCGCTTTCAGTTTTTCATTTTCCAGTTTCGATTCATTTCTCAACAGTAAAAGTTTGTTTTCTTGGTCATTTTTGTCTTTTTCGTTTGATTTCAATTCTTCAGACATCTGGAAAATTATGTCTTCTTTGACTTTTACAATACTCATTAGATTGTTTAAGTCTTCTGTGAGATTCCTGTTGACGGCTTTCTGATTTGTTATTTCTTCATTTTTGCCAACCAGTTCAACATCTAATGTCATTAATATATCTTTAAATGCATTTACCTCATGTTGCTGGTTTGAAGTAGTAGTTTTCAAATTTTCAATTTCGATTTTCAAACTTTCATTGACTTTCTCGAAGTTCTCCGCCACCAATTTGTATGAAATATTTTCTTTCTGAATTCTTTCAACTAACTTGGATAAGTGGTTACTTCGTGATTTTATTTCTTTGTTTTCATTAGTCAAATGTTCATTACATTTGTTTAAATTATTCAATTTAGCATTCATATTTTCAATTTCCTCTTTGTAGTTGTTGATTTCTGAACTGAGTTGTATGAATTGTTGTTCGTTGTTGCATTCTTGGTCCTTGCAGTTAACATCCAGCTCGGTTATGATGATATTTTGCTTTTGAATTTCACTATTTTTAACATCAAGAGCTTCTTCTAGCTGAGTGTTCCTCAGTTCCAGTTGTTCTATCTCGTACTTTAGTTGTTCCAGGTTGCCTCTGCAGGAAACCAATTCTTTTTTCACTTCTTTCAGTTCATTTTCTGCCGTCTCTAAATTATTTTGTTCGCTTTTGAGCTTTAAACTTAATGATTGAATGTCAAACTGTTGTCTATCTACAGCAGCTTTTAACGAAATGTTATTTGATCTTTCTTTGCTTAATAAATCTTCAACGTGAACGAGCTTCTCGTTAACAGAGCCACACTCAGCTTTCAGTAATTTCATGTCTGTCACTAAATTTGTGTTTTCTGATTGTAATTTTTTTATGTTCGATTTATAAGTTTCGTTGAGTTTTTGAGAAGTTTTATGCTTTTTTAGTAAAGTTTTTATTTCTTTACTAAATTCATCTGCAATTTTTTGGCGTTCTTTAAGTAGATTGTTATTTTCGTTTGTCAGTTTGTGGCACTCCTCCATTTTGGAGTGCAGATCTTTTGTTGTTGTTTTAATTCTTTCGTTTAATTCTCTGATTGTTTTATGATTCTGAGAAACTATTTCAGCATGATTTGCGGTCATATTATTTATGGCGTCGTTAAGTTTCATAATGTTTTGGAAATTATCTGTTATTTCCATTTCTTTCATTCTCATTTCATCTTTGCAATTTTCTAAGAAACTTTTGTTCTCATCAATTTTGTTCAACAACTCCTTGCATTCGAATTCTAACATTTTATTTTTATTCGTCAAATTCTCTTGATTTTCAAAAAATTCGTTACGTGCAGAATCTAATTCATCAACCTTTTGCCCGTACCTTTTCTCAACGTTTGCCAGCTTTTCTGCTAAATGCGATCGTTTCTCAGTTTCATTTTTTAGCTCGTTTTCCAAACTGTTGATCAAAATTTTCGAATGTTCTTCAGATTGTTGAATATCAAATTTCAGAGAGTTCGTTGCCTTCAAAACTTCATTCAAACTTTCTTGCAGCTCCTTACATTTTTTAACTGACTTCAAATAATTTTCATTCAAGTCGGCGTACCTGCGATTCAGATCATTATGTTGCGTTTGTAAATCTTGTTTCGATGAAGTCAAAAGTTCTGTCTCGTAAGACTTCTGCATCAGAAGTTCTTGTACGTTTTGAAAATTTTTCTGCATTTCATCTGTAAATATAATTTTATCGGACAGATTACTTTCCAGATGTTCGCATCTTGTTTGGAGTGCTTGCAGCTTCCTGTAATTGTCTTCTACCTGAGATTCCAGCACAGTAATGTGGTACGATTTCTTTCGGTACTCGTTCTCAAAGTTCAGTTCGCTTGCTATCTTTTCTTTCAGCTCTTTTTTCAACTCATTTATTTGATTTGATTTTTCTTTCAATTGAGCCTCCATAGATGCATTGTCGACGGACGTGTTTGAGATTTTTGTTTCCAAACAACTGATGAGATCAAGATAGTTGCATCTGTCAATTTCAATTTCTGCAAACATGTTTTCTAAGTCAAATGCCTGTCCTTTTGTTGTACCTGAAGTAAAATCATCGTTTGATTCAACGCGAAAATCTTCTTTGCAGTAATTTCTTGAAGATATTTTTGATTTCAACAATTTTATTCTATTGGAAAGGCTTTCATCAGAAGTTCTTACGAATGTTGAAAATGTAACGTCTTTTATAGCATCACTATCGTTCACATCAATATTGCTGACTGTTGAATTCAGGTATTTGATACTATTACTCTTTCTAATGGACTGTCTTAATTTTTCCACCAAGTTTTCAAGTTTTGTTTCGTTTCGTTTAGACTCTGAAATTTCGTTTTGTAAATTTTCAATTTTTTTCTTCAGCTCAGTCATGTGGTTGTTTATTCTTTTGTTCTCTCTCTTAGCATCGTCAAACTTGATCAGGTCACCCTCAAGTTTTTTGTTAGCCTGCTCCTTTACTTTCAACTGATGAATGCAATCCTTCAACTGGACATCCAACTTTTTGTTCTGATTCTTTTCATAATTTACATCTCTGCCTGAGTTTTTCAATTGAACTTTCAGTTTTGACACTTCATCTTCTAGCGATTTATTTACTTGTAATAAATTTTCATTTTCTTTCGTCAGATGTTCAGTTTTTTGAGAAAATTCTTTTGATTTTTCATTAAGTTGCGTTTTCAGGTTTGAATAAGATGACTGAAGCTTTTCTGCAGCATCTAGTGCAATGTTTCTTTCCTCTGTTCAAACGAATATCAATCAATATGAGAAAATATTTCTACAATATTAAAGTATTGGTTTGAAGTTAAATAAGAAATATGGCATGAAGTAACAAATTAAAAATAAATTCTATTTATATTTTCATTATAAGATAAATCAAGTTTGACAAAATAATACTCCGTAATATTATATTTTAAAACATTTAAAGCTTTTCTAAGATAACCAAAGTTATTAATTTTCTAAGTTACCTTCAATTTGCTTCATAATTAATCTACCATCTTCTAGATTCTTGAACAGATTTTCGAGTTCCAAGCTTAATTCTTCAATTTTTAAGTTTTGTTGGTCGCACTCCTGCCTGTAAGCTTCAGACTCCAGCTTCTGTTGCTGAAGTTCTTCAATGTAAATGTGGCAGTTGTCCTCCAGAATGTCAGTGGAATCGATCAGACATTTTGATTTTTCTTTGTATTTTTTAATTATTTCTTTTGCTCTGCTCAACTCTGTTGTCAGCTTTTTGTTTTTAAACTTGAAATCCTCATTTTCGATCAACAGCCTCTGATTATCATCATCCTTTTTGAGGTTTTCACTTCTCAGCAGCTTCATATCTTGTCGAAAATCGATGATAGACCATTTCTCATTCATGTTTAATCATTTATAATTGATATTTTGTTCGAATCAAAAAAATTATCTTATTAGTATTTGGCTACCCTACTGACAGATTTGTATCATACAACTGTTGTTTTGAATCATTATATTGACATTGGATTATCTCATCATTGTGATTCAAATCCGTTATGGTATCTTATTTCATAAAAAATAAAACAGAAAGACAAAAATTTACTCCTATTAAACTTAAAGTATTAACTTTTAATAATAATAATAATAACGATAGTTAATCAGCAAGATGCAACACTAACAATTAAATTAAACAAGTTAACATTAAAATCCTAACATATTTGAAAAACCAACTATTTAATTACATAATGAAATTTGTATACATATTCATCATTTTCGTGCATTTGCATGAGAAACTTCACGCACTGCTTTCATGTCTCAACACGTTTGCCTGTTTGCTTGCACACCTTGATCAGCTGATCGTCGTATTTATTGCTACCGGTGTTAACAAAGATATACTACAATTCTCTAGCGTTTAAAAGCGGATCTAGAATGGCTGTTATAAAATGTTTGAAATTTTTCGGTGTTAAGTCTAATATAATAGTTAAGTCCAAATAATATAATAGTTAAGTCCAAATAATATAATAGTTAAGTCCAAATAATATAATAGTTAAGTCCATTGAAATGTCTCACAAACATTTTACTTGAGCTCACAAATGAATTTGAAGCTGCGGACACGCGTAATCAAACCACATTTTTTCAACAATATTATCACCTCCAATGAACGTACTACCCTAATAAGAAAACCACAACTACTCTAACTTCAACAGAACTATTTTTTCCTCCCATAAATGTATTTAGGTACTGAACTTAAATCTTGGCGTATAATGTGGGCACATCTTAAATTTTTTCACATTTTTCGAAAGAATTCATTATTTTGAGGAAATATTTCTACCTATAAACTACGTGTACCCTTAACCTTTATGTAATTTTCAGTTAAAAAGTCACATTTATATCTTCCCACAGGCACAAATTTGCACATGATCATTGCACATGTAGGAATTTAAACGAAGGACTAAATATTTTCAAGCTTGCTTAAATTCTTTAACCAGCTCAGTACTACCCACACGTGTATGATTAATATCATGCAAAAGAATTAATTGTTCTTGGGAATGCTTAATAAATTTCATCCTACCAATGTTAAGTTCCTAATATCTACGAATTTTTTAATCCAATCTTAGACTTTCACAAATATTTGCTGTTTGATTTCGTCCTTTCACGAAAACGGACAGTTTGATTCCGAAACCTACTCTTGCGATTATCTCCAGATTGTGTAGAATTGTTAAATACAATGCGGTTTGAAAACTTCAATTTGATGTTTTAAGCTAAATTAGACCAGATTTTTCGTTACTTAAAATCCATCTGATCGTCTGATTTGTTCCACTTTGAAAATTTCAAAGTAAATAATTGCTTTAAAATAGGTACTTTGTGATATTTATTTTGTGGATCTCTTTTTTTTAAGGTTACCTTTTATTTTGTTTTTTAATTTTTTCTTCGTTATTCATTTAAAACAACAAGTTATTCAACCAGTGAAAATATTTTAATAACTTCCTCATCATTGCCTGACTTCAATTGCACAACAAATATAAACCTTGAAATAAATAAATAAAAATGATTGTCCTGCAATCAATTGTACGAAACATGCTACGGAAATAAAGTGTTAAAAATAGGAAAAATAAGTAGAAATAAGACAATGGAGTTAATGAAAGTTGAAAAAGTTATTTACACTTAAAGATGAAAAAAATTACGTTGATAAAACATTGTATATAAAAAATACTGGAAATATATCAAAATTTACGCAAAATATAATATGAAATTGTCAGAATTAAAATAAAGAACTTTTCAAAAACAAATTAGAAAACTTTCTTTCTAATTAATCAATAAATTAATTAATTAAGTGGTTAATCGAGAAATTATTTCTAATAAGGCGGAGGTGAGGATGAAATAACAAGATCGGGTTGGTTGTTAGGATCAGTGGCTGATGTGTCTTCAATTTTTGTCTCTGAAGATGGCAGAGTTGTTTCATTTTCAATGCTTGCTCCGAAGAAATAAGTTGGCTCTACGAAAACTGATTTTGTCCTTTCCACGTCTGCTTTCATTGCTGGCATCTTGTGCTTCCTGTAACGGTTCAATTATAAATAAAATTTAAATGAAACTATCAATTTGTCTATCTTCGAAAATCCAATTTTTACATTTCGAATATTAAAAAGTGTTAATGCAAAAATTGAAAAGAGATAAAATTTACTTTTTGCATATGACGACGACAATGACGATGGTGACGATGACCACCAACACAACTCCTCCAATGCTACCGCCGATGGCCGCGTACATCACTGCGTTGTTTGGGGGTTTGAAATGTATCAGTTGAATTATTTAGTTCTGGAATTATTTAATGGATCATTTAAAAAAAATAAAATAAGTTTTCTTTTTAAATTTACACCAGTAATTAAGAATTAAAATGATACTAAATGGTTTTTTAACAATAATACTAATTTTTGTAAGGAATGTTTTTGAGTGAAAAAACTGCGACATGTACCTTTGTTATTGTTGATGGCAACGAAGCTTGCATCTGGAACGGTGATGTTGACTTGAGGCAGCGTCGTCGATTGTCCAGGGACGATCGATTTCGTCGGTAATAGAGTTGTTGTAGTTGTCGTCGGCATGAAGTAAGTTGGTTTGAAAATGTAGGTTGCATTTGCTGCAATGTGTGAAGTATTTTTGTAGGTTAGACAACTTCTTCATTAATTAATCTGACAATAGTTTATGATCAGTTCAAAAATTACATTTACTAGCAGGGTAGTGAATTTTAATGGCGTTGATATTTTATTTATATAGATTGATAACTGTGCTGGATAATGAATGACATCTCACTAGATTGACACAAGGAGACTTTTGAAGAAGCACAATCGTCCAGAGACCAGATGTAGGGTTCATTGTTGTCGTTAAGTGGGTTGGTTCTTACAATCGCACACAATTCCTTCTTGTTGTAACTCAGCGAAGTGAATTTGGTGTAGGAGAGAATATCGCCTGAAAAATATTTGAGAGTAATGTCATTACATTTCAATTAACTGTTTAAAAAGTTATTTAGCATCGTCGAGCCGAAATTTTATTAAAGTAATAAATAATATGTAAATATTTTAAAAAGTTAAATCCCGACTAACCAGTTGTCCAACGAAAATTGATCCTGGAAAGACCGATCCAGAACTCAGTGCTGCCATCTTTGACGAAATTATTAAGGACGTTGAAGAGGGCATCGTTGTGGGATTGGGATGTAATTTTTATTAAATTCCCATTCACATTGTTGCACGTCTGTATGGCGTTCAGATAATTTTCATAGCGGCTGCTGATGTAGATGCAGGTGGTGGTGTCCTGGTTGCTGGCGTCCTTGTACGACAACTTGTGCACTTCTTCTTGCGTTGCATTGTCGCAGGTCGGGAAGCTGCTCGAAAGTCCTGTGGTTTCAAGAGTAAGTTTTTGATAAATAATGAATTAAATTTATTGTCGAAGTTTCTAACTATAAATTGAGGTTTAACTTCTTTTGACTTTAACTAAATTACTTAATTTTGTAAGTTAACGTTGAACTAAAATATATAAAATACAGGAACAAATTACGTATAAGATCTATATAAAAAAAAGTTAATTTATAAATTAAAAATGTTAGTTGAAAAATTATAAAATGTAAAAAAATATTTTGAACAAACCGATTTCACAAACAGCCCTCAAACTGGTCATACAGTTGACGTCGCCCCACCCTCCATTCTGGTCCTTCACAATTGTGGCACAGGCCTGATTCTCGGGACTCTCTGATGAACCATTGTTTGGTTGACCGTTCAGCCAGTTTGAATACAAACCTTCAAGTGGAATGTGTCGTTGTGGTTTTATTCTTTGATCTCGTAAAAAAAGGACTTTTATGAAACTATTACTAATTGCACATACATTTGTCTACAACGTCAGGAAAGGATCAAAAGAGCATAATCATTTTATACAAGCCATTGTGATTTTGATTATAACTACTCGATCCAGGCATAGCAATAACTAACCATTCATATTGACTATCCTCTCCGAATTCAGCCCTCCGCAGTTTTCAGTTGAAGACCCGGGACAGGGCATGTCACACTGTGCTCCGTTCTGTGTTTCCACTCCGAACGAGTCTCCGCAATAACATTCCACGGTATTCTAAAAAATAGTTTTTATCATATGTTTGTACAAGAAATATATTTGAAATGAATTTTTCTTTGCTTAGAATGTCTAAATTATCAACCACTTATGAATAAACAAGCAAATTTAATATTAATAAAAATTACTCTTAGTCCGGTATAATTGTATTTGTTGTTTGAGCAGATGGTTGAACATGAAAGAGCGCTGTTGTCTCCGGTTTTTGTTGCCATCAGTCTCGTGTCGTGGTTAGTTGTTGAGACGCTTAAGAAGCAGCCCTGTTCTTTCAGTTCAGAACCTGGTTGTGGTAAGAATTGTTAAATCAATGTTTTACTGAAGGGGAAACTCTTGAAAATGTTGAATGAAAATATTTTGTGTCCATCATATAAATCTTTGAATCCTCATTTATTAACATGAAGAAGAAGACTACTAAAAACTTTAACTTAAGTTTTAACTTTTTTCTTCCAACAGTATCAAGAAAATGTAACATTACAATTGGAATGATTAAAACAGGCTGAGACTACAAAACAAACGCACCATCCGACCATTTCCATGGTGTTTGAAACTGTTTCAGTCCGATCCAGACGTCATCATCTCTGCTGCTTCGAAGAAGTTCCATCACAGCTGCATACTCATCGTCGCTGCCAACTGTCGCCAGCTTCATGTTGTTGTTGTCGCACACGCCGACCGAACTTTCGAAGTTGTTCTTCGTTTTGAAGATTTTGTAACAGACCAGCCCATCTCCTCTCTTCGCTGTTTTATGGCAGTCTGTTATCTCAAACACAGCTGGTTCGAAAAAATATTTGATATAATGAAATTAAAAAAAGTTATTTCGTCAAATGAAACAAAAATTTAGATGAGTAAACAAAATTATGTGGAGACCAAAAAGCAAAAGTTTTACTAACAGATTAACAGATTAATTAATAATGATGATGTTTTTCAAATAGAAAAAAAAACCTCCAACGAAACTAACCGCGTGAAGAAGACAGAAAGAACAAGCAGAATATCACAATATCCCGGATTTGATGAAACATTTTTGTAACAAATTAAATTTAAATTTTTATAAACAAAAAAATGATACAATTATTTTTTTTTACACAAGAATAACTTCAGGACTTAAAACTAAAATGAAGTAAAATTACAATAGGCAGTTGATGGACAATTTGGTTACAAATACTTCGTGATGAATGATTTCAAACATGCCTCTTCCAACATTTTATAAACATTTCATTGACAACTCGAACAACCTATACATTATTTCATGGTAATACAATATACGTTTACAATACTATATTTGAATACTATAACATAATGCGTTATATTATACAATACTAATCTACAACCAAATGCTAGTTGCTAGTGCTCAGTGAACTGTGAACGCGTCATGACGTAAAGTCGTGCAAACAAAAGATTTCATTGAAATTATTATAATAATAATAATAATTTTTCCTCTTATTCACGTTAGTATTAATATTATTATTTTTTCAGAATCATATTTAAGTTTAATTTATAATAGTAATAACAATAAACAATAATTATTATTATTTCTTTTTTATTTATTATTATCATTATTGTTAAGCTTATTGTTGCTATTAGAATTTGTTGACGTTGTAATTGTAATGCTATCGTGAATGAATGCTATAAATAGATTGTCCTGGCAACTGATGAATATTCGTGATTGTTCATTATACGTCATTATTTTTCCGTGTTATTCATCACTACTACGCAACTTCGACCTACTAAGATTTTTGACATTGTTAGACAATGCGTACATTTCAATTGATCAAGTTGAATGAATTCTGGTAAAGGCAGTTTTTTTTATTTCATTCTATATTAGAACGGAATTAACTATTCATTCAGACAAATATTATAGAAAAAATTATTTTTAAAATTTTTTCTACAAATAAACAGATTAAGTCTTAAGCTGTAAAATAAACTTTCCACTGTGTAGCCAATGAGTGAACTACCGACTTATGATAACCTGGTGATATAGCAACGCATCTGAAACAGTCCAACAAGAACTAAAGAATCTAAAAACTTTTACTTTACCGAATGTATTTTGTCATTTACATTCTTTTATTTGTTTCCATTTACTGGGTATTCAAAATTTTAAATCTTTCCTCTCCCAACATTAAATCGCGCTATTTACAACGTAACGTTAGGTAAAAAATAGAACACAATGTTGTTTATTGTTCACCACATTCGCCACACGCAACCATTTAATTAGAATAACTTATAATTATAACTTTATAATAAGAATAATAGCATGCAACTAACTCCTCATACACAATTACACACACAGACGCACTCACACGCACATGACACACACATTTCCTGCTTGAAAATACTTGGGTCTGGTAGTATAATTAATCACGTTTGAATATTTGGTATCAAAAAGGGTCAAAATGATGTGGATGGATGGATGGTAGGATGTCGTCAGATCTGACTTGTGACCTTATTCCCCCCTCTTTTCGAAATCACGGCGAAAAGACAGAATTGTAAGAACATGGACTAGAAATCATGTACACTAGAAATGGTGTTGAACCAAACCTTTTGGGAACGATCTTACCAAATTATACAAAACTAATTTTAATTAACAGAGCCTCATTATTAATCAGTATCATTGAATTATGGAAGGAAATAAAGTGAAGCGTTTGGTCTAAACGTTGGCCTGGAAGTGTTTACGTCATCTATAATGGATGCATGACGTCATTGCTTCTCATGCTGACGTCATTGCTTCTCATGCTGACGTCATGGCTTCTCATGCTTCTAATAGAGCGTACAAGGAGAGAGATGCGATAAGACAATTCTAGTCTATAACTCTATGAGACGTTTTTAAAGACAGAACAAAAATTTAACTAAACAAATCATTTTTGATAGCAGTTCACATTTAGTTCCCTTTAAACTAAGTTTAAAAGTGAAGCACCTCTAAAAGTTCAGCAGATGGCAATTGAATTGAAAATAATGATTTTGCCCATTTCTTTTCTAAGGAGTTTAGAGAATGTCATCTGAGCCGTGGAAGTTTGCCAATTTGAACTATAAAAAGTTAAAAGGTAACGACATTTATTATCTTGATTTTTTTATAAATTGAAATGAAATTACATAATAATAAAATTAAAATATGTTTTATTTTTGACTTTTTGTTTTGTGTACCTTTTCTTTCATTCAATATTCATCCTACCTAATCTAATGCGAGAATATTCTAAATTTTATCATATTAAAAAAAAGATAATAAGTAAATAACATACAAAGATCGAATTTAAAATTGAAATAAATATCTTTTTCCTACTAAATGAATAAGTGGCCAGTTTTATTTAATTAATGCATAGAATAATTTATAATTATTTAAATTATTAAATGATTTAAATTAAATTAAATAACACTGTAGAATACATCAATACAATAAACATCTAATGCTAATGTAGTACATATTATATGTGTGATTCAATATAATTATTATATATATAAGAACTGTTAGTTCATCAAATTTTAGATTTATATTTCATTAATTATTTTTATTTTTAACTGGTTATTAACTTTACTGCATTCAGTCTTTTCAGTTTTTGCCTCCAGTTTTTCCTTTGGGTTAGTTTTGTTGGAAAACTAAAAAAATTAAATTTTAATACATTTATAAATGATTATTTTATATCCACAATTCATTTCATTCATTATTATTAATAAAATTCATCAGAAAAATTTCTAATTTAAGATTTTTTATATGATAATCTTTTAGTTTCTAGTGTAATTTAACCCTTGATACCACAATTAAGTATTGTTAAGAATTCATGTGCCTAACAGTTTTTTAAGGTTGTATGTTCATTTCGGAATATAAATTCTGTATAGATATTTTAATCACATTTATCGTTACTTTGAAATTAAAGCGAAACATTAAATGGTTATTAATCTCAATCAATAATTTAATTTATCATTTTTTAGTTTAGTGTTGATCTATAATGAGCTGATAAGAAGAAAGAAGACAAAAGTTAAAAAGGAATGTGATGATGATGCAGATGATGATTTTGGTACAAATTCTTACATTCAGACTCCACATTATGACGGTGTGTATACAAAATGAACGAATAAATGATTAATTGATTGAATGAATGAATGAATGAATGAATGAATGAATGAATGAATGAATGAATGAATGAATGAATGAATAAATGAATGAATGAATGAATGAATGAATGAATGAATGAATGAATGAATGAATGAATGAATGAATGAATGAATGAACGAATGAATGAATGAATGAATGAATGAACGAATGAACGAAGAAACGAAGGAACGAATGAACGAATGAACGAACGAACGAACGAACAAATGAACGAACGAATGAATGTGTTTTTTCTACCATGTATATGCTGAATTGTAAACCGTCTTTATTATTACAGAAACATAAATTTAATTGAATTATATGCGACTAATAAACATTTTGTTTTTTCATTATATTCTGTAATTATAACATAACATAACAACATAGCTAAGTTTAAAGTGGTTTCGTAGACCAACATCTGTGTGAGAGCCACTACAAACTAAATGTCCTAGTATCCTAGCTCTCCTAGCTTGATTTTAAAATTGTTGATTAAATCCATTGGGACAATTTTATCGCTCAGCTCGTTCCGGGCGTTTACCACCCTGCTGCTGAAGAAACTTTGCTTTATTGGATTTTCTGTTTTTTTGGCAGCTGGGAAAATGCTGAAAACTGCTTACTGCATCATTCCAAGTGATAAAACTATTGTGCCACATGCACAGCGCATGATGTACACAGTGGCGCATTGCAATTCGTTAGACTGTATTGTATGCGTAATGAGTTGTGACTTAAAACATTAGCCATTCAATCAAATAAGTAATAACTAACTCTCTTCTGTGTTATTTAAAAATCTAAAGAAACCTGCCAACCAAAAAGTATTAATAGGTAGGTAAGGTATCAAATGTGCGATTGTTTGTATCTGCGACCTTTTAATCCTTTCCTTTTTTCTAGTTGAAAGAACTTAATGAACGGTGTTTCTTCTTTTCCAGTTGTTAACTTATCGGATCTCCTTTGCATCTTCTCCTTTCTAGTGTTGTTATTTCGAATTCTTTCAGTCTATCCTTATACTCAAGTTTTCCAACTCTTTCGATCATCTTTGTAGCTTTACGCTCTATCCGTTCAAGAATGTCTTTGTCCTTTTGTATATCTGGACTCCAAACCTGTGAACAATACTCGAGATGAGGGCCAACTAATGTTTGATACAAGTTTATAATGATTGACTTCTCTCCGCTCACCGCCGTTCTTCTAATACCTCCAAGTATTTGATTTGCTTTGATTGCTGCCTAAGTACATTGTCTTAATGTTTTCGTGCTTTTATGAATTGTGATTCCGGGGTCATTTTCTTCTTCTGTAGATGGAAGGTCCTTACTGATTATTACTATAAAGATGTTTAATTCTTCTGAATAACATTTAAAAATCATAAAAATACGAATTATAGTTTTGATGATCTTAAAAATTCTTTATATTGTTTGATATTTAAAAAAAAAATTACAGACACAAGTATAGATGTACATTCAATGAGGCATTACATCAGAGGCATGTCTCCTGAACGTTTTGCATTTTTTAATATTTAATTTCGTTGATATTTCAAATATTACAAATCATTTTTTGTCTTGAAGTTATCTCTATAAAAATCATAATTAAATTTACATTTCTTTAAAATTTAATTTAAATTCATTTAAATTTATATTAATAAATTATATTTATATTTATATTATTTATAATGCATGTACTTTATTATTTACTGTATTTAAATTTAAAATTTTTTAATTCATTTTTATTCAGAACTTAGAAACTTGACCTCAGTCTTTGAAATGCTGCCGTTGAGGTTGCTACTGAAATGCACCAGGTCGAAAGATTGTGATGTGAGAGAGAGAGCTTTGAGAATTATTCATGAGCATCAATATCATCAGGGTAAGTTAGGTGGAATAAATTATGATAATGAGGTTGGAATAAATTTTGATGATGAGGTTGGTATAAATTATGATAATGAGGTTGGAATGAATTATGATAATGAGTTTGGAATGAATTATGATAATGAGGTTGGAATAAACTATGATAATGAGGTTGGAATCAATTATGATAATGAGGTTGGAATCAATTATGATAATGAGGTTGGAATCAATTATGATAATGAGGTTGGAATTTTTATGATCGTGGTGGTGTGGATGATGTTTACGATGACAACGCCAATGCAGCAGAAGTCTGTAGGAAAGGCTTTTTAGGATAATTCAACAGACAAATCATTACTCTTGGCTCTTTGCTTTTTATGATCATGCAATTGTTGGGTTTTGGATATTATCGTGTTAAAACTTGCCAACCCAAATTTTATACTAAATATCCTTTCAAACTTAAAGTTGTTTCCTAAAAAAATTTAATTTACAGTACTTTTTATTTTCCTGAAATAGCTTAAAACTGAACGTTAGTTAACGAACACGTTTGCTAGCTTTTTTGCAAGTGTATTGAAGAAATTTCTGACTCTATCAAAATATCATCACAGATATAATAATAATAATAATAATAAAAATAATAATAATAAGAATCATAATAATAATAAATAAAGATGATGTAAATAAAAGCAATAAAAATAATAATAATAAAAATAATAATAATAGTAATAGGAAATATTTTTAGAACGATAACATTTGAAAATTAAAAACTTAAGGTTGAAATAATTTTTCAGAAAGTATTATAATTATTTTCTTTTGTAGAAATTACTTAATTTAATGTCCACATAGTTTCAGATAGGCAGATGATAGCCCAGTCTTTAGATGCGCAGTCAGTGTTGAAGTTGTGTACTATGAAGTCGTTTGATGCCAGATGTATCATTAAGCCACCACCATTGCCTACCTTTCAAGTTTATATACACATATATTTTTCAAAATTATTATTTTAATAATAATAATTTTATTGTTGTTAATTATAAAATTATTATTGATTATAACGAAATAAATATTGATATTATTATTGTTATTGATGATGATATATATTATATATTTATTCGGGGGAATTTTTCATTGAATTGGCTGATTGGCGGGGATCTCTTGGCATTCGAATCCAGTCAGTGCAACACCATGACCAAACGCCTAAACCATTACACCATGGCGTGTAGTGTTTATGATAATGCTTACGTTTTTTTTGCGTTTTTTAAATTTCCGCTTACAGACTTCATTGGAAGAACATCTAACTAGTCTGCTGGACGGTTTGACGAATCAGAATCAAGTGCATGGTAGTGGTTATTTCGTTTTTTCATATTTATTTATTTATTTATTATTTAGTTTTTTATTTATTCATCATTATCTTAGTTCCATCAACATTCATATCCTTGCGACCATAACAATTGGGCCATTATTTTCACCATCACCGTCACCATGTCTGTTTAAATTTCTATGGCTGCCACTGTCGTCACACTCCCAGCAAAGAAGAACAAGGACCTGATCAGACCTCATTTGGAGTTGGCCAGGAAGAAGAAAATCAACGTTTCATCACATGTTGATAAGGTTAAGACGCTGATTGGCTGTGTAAGTATCTTCTTGCACCTTCTTGCTGCATGAATGTTATTCGTGGCTTAAAGTTAATGTGCAACTGCGTAAGTTGACTTATTTATGATTGTAAAATGAAAAAGTATTGTCTCACGTCATTGTCAGCGCGTGATCTTCTATATTTGTATTTGTATGCTTGTACTGATGTGTTTTTTCTATACATATTTAACATGTTCATGGAATTGAATAATATAAATGTTTTGTCAGTTTAACAACAACAACGACAACATACAAACAATAATAATAATAATAATGGTGGTGGTGGTGGTAATGTTGAAGATGATGACGACGACGAAGTTAATGATAACGTTACTGATGAACATTTGAAGACGGTGACATTGGGCTTCGAATCGTTCGACGAATCCTCCCTGAATGTTTCGAACACGACGAGGAATGTGCAGTCGTTCGTTGTTGCGCACCTGCTGCTTGCCTTACTAAAGTGTTCCGAGGTCCGCATCTGTCGCTTGCTGCTGTCGTCGTTGGTGGTGGCTTGTCGTTTTGTCTTTGTCGCGTGAGGGAATAGTATTGTGGGAGAATTGAATTGTGGGAATTAGAATTGTCGTTGGGGGAATTGTTTTTTCTGTGCTTTTTTCGTTGGTTCGTTTTTGGTCTGTTGTTGCAAATGTTTTTCATTTTTTTTTTGTGGTGTACTTTTTGTTGTTTTTGTTGCTGATAAATGTTGATGTTTTTTAGTTCATTGTTTACATCTCATGAAATCATAATTTCTTACTTTTATATTTCATTAATTGTTTTTTAATTTTTTTTTTCATATTTTTATCCAACCAATTTTTCAGTCGAAAGATAACGTCAGCGATCTTTTCAGCACGAAGTACAGCATCGACGGTGGCTTATTAGTTTTACTGCGTAGGATCTACGAGACCTATCCCAGCGATGTATCGATAGTCCTCGATGTTGCCAGATTGTTGAACAATGTTGTCACCAGCGTTGATCAGAACGTTGAGATGGTGCAGATGCTGTTTGACTGTGGCTGGCTGTACATTTTATCTGGATGGCTGCACGCGACTGATAACATCAGCACCAACAATAACATCATCGATCCCAACAACATCAACAACAACACACCAAACAACAAAAGCAACACTAATAACAGCGTAAATAGCAATCATAAATATAACATAGCTCAAGTTCAATTTCATGGCATGCTCAACTTATTTGCCACAAAGATACTTCATAACACTCACGTACTGTATCTACATGGCTACAACAATTTAAATACTTTAAATGATATTAGTAAGAATACTTTTAGTAAAGTTGATGGCAACAGTAAAACTACCACATTTCCAACTAATTTTATCACTAACAATGTAAGTCGAAGCAGCAGTATTAGCGTTGGTCTTGGTAATAAAGTCAGTATTAAGAAGCAGAGTATTGTTAGTAGTAATAATACTAAAAGTGCTACGGGCAACGAAAATCTTGTGATGTATGATAATCACGTTCATATCCTCTATCCAACATATCAGAAAAGGTTGTTGACGTTGTTGTAATGGTTGTTGGTGGCGTATTGGTTGTTGATGTAATGGTTGTTGGTGTGATGGTTGTTGGTGTGATGGTTGTTGATGAAATGTTTTTTGATGTAATGGTTTTTTGGCGTAATGGTTGTTGATGTAATGATTGTTGATGTAATGTTTGTTGATGTAATGTTTGTTGATGTAATGGTTGCTGGTGTGATGGTTGTTGATGTAATGGTTGTTGTTGCAATGATTGTTGATGTAATGGTCGTTGCTGCTGTGATGGCTGTTTGTTGTTGTGATAGTTGCTGTAGTTTTGCAAATTCTAAGTAACGACAACAACAATAATAACAATGGAGACATCTTTTATTTATCACCCGTCAAAATTTGTAATGAATCGTGCGATAGAAAGAAATGTATAATAAAACCAATAATAATAATAATAATAACAACAACAAAAACAATAATAATAATAATAAAATAATAATAATAATAATAATAAATGTTTTTATTCGTAAATTAGCGACGCCACAAGCCTGGATGTGGTTTTCCTCCATGGTTTGCTGGGCAGCCCTATGAGGACATGGAGACAGAACAATAACAATAATAATAATAACAATAATAATATTAACATTAACAACAACAACCATAACAAGACTAACAATAATATTAACAACAACAACAACAACAATAATAATATTAATAATAATATTAGTAATAATAATAATGATAATAGTAACAAAAATAACAATACTATTAGTAATAATAACGCAGTTGTTATTGATCGCAACATTAATAATAATAATAACGGTAGCAATGTACCTACCTGTACTGTTACTACAACTAATAATAATAATAATAGTTATAATAATAATAATTATAATAATAAGAATACAAATGATTGTAATAAGAATAATAATACAAATAATCATATTAGGAAAGCTACAACTTATACTGATATCTCTAGCGGTAATAATAATCAGCTTAACAATACTATTTCTTCTTCAAGTAATAATACCGTTAATAAACAGATGAATAAAAATACTCCTACTACTACTACTACTACTACTGCTGCTACCGCTGCTACTACTACTACTATTAATAATAATAATAACAATCATAATAATAATGACGTTTGTGTGAGCGAAAATGGTGATAAACTAACCAACTGCTGGCCCAGAGTAGTTTCTTTTTTAATTTACTTGAAAAAAATGAATGGATGGATGGATGGATGAATGGATGGATAGATGATTGACATATTTTGGTGACAGGATTGGCTGGCGGCCGACCAATCAGATTTGAGGATTCTGTCCGTTGACTACGACACCCAGCTCACTCATTGGATGTCTAATAATAGATTTGAAAGGTTTTTTTTTTCATATCGTGATAGAACAGGGGTGGGCAAACCACGGCCATATGGCTCTCGAAGCAAGATATTTTATGCGTTAGTCAGACATTATGACCAAAAAAGGAACCACAAATTCTTAAAAAAATTCTTCCCCGGGTCGAAAAAATTTGCTATTTAAGTACATATGCGGCCCTTCAAAGGTCGAATAGTTCCCAATGCGGTCCTCACGGCAAAATGTTTGTTCACTCCTGTGATAGAAGATACAATAATGTTTTCACTTGATGTATAATGTTTATACTTTTAAAAATGCTGAATAAATAATTAGTAAATGTAAATAATGAATAAATAAATTAATGGATAAATGAATGAATAAGCGAACGAATGAATGAATGAATGAACGAATGAATGTAGGAATTAAAGAATGTAGGAATTAATTAATGAATATTATTTGATGAAAAAATGAATAATAATTAAACAGGAAAACGCTGAAGGAGCAGAGTTTATTGCTGTTGGACTCTCTGGTCAGAGCTGGTGTTGGTGCCAGACCATTCGTTCTAGTTGGTCATTCTATGGGAGGTCAGTGTGTTGGCCATCACCTTGATGGTGATGATGATGGTGATGATGAAGATTATGATGAAGAGGATAATGAAGTTGGTGAAGAGGATGATGAAGAGGATAATGAAGTTGGTGAAGATGATGATGAAGAATATGATGATTGTGACAAATAATGTAATAAGTATACAGGTGAAGAGGACGAAGATAACGACGATTGCATGTAATAAATGCACGCCGTCCATTAAATATACACAAATTAAATGAATCTTGTATAAAAGTGTATAAATCTTGAAACTAACTGATTTAAATTAAAATTTGTAGATCTACGTCTCTGGCTATATTCTTGATGTTTATTGCGTTTTAGGCTAAAGTTTATTTTGCCAACTTTAGTGTTTCTAATCATTCGTGTTTTTTGACGAAGGCCTCATAGCGAAGCAGATGTTAATTGAAGCTAACGAAAGAAATTATAAAGATTTTGTTGACAATATCAGTGGTATGTTGGTTTGCTTGTTTACACACGTACACACGCACGTAAACACACATATGCACACACGTACACACACACGTACACACACATATATACGCACGTACATCAACACAGGCCTGGTGTTCTTCAGCGTGCCACACAAAGGCTCCTCCCTTGCCACCTACAGTCGAAGCGCCTCTTACATCCTACACCCCACGGATGAAATTTTGCAGCTTGTTGAAGGTTCTTGGGACGTGCTCCGATGTCTTTGAATTGTTTCAAATACATGGATAGATTATGTCTGATGTTTTATAAAAATCGTTGACTATCTTGGGCAGATGGACAGTTGTGTATCCTAATAGAGCATTTAAAACCTGTATTAAACCCTTATAGTTTGGATCTTCGGAGACATTTAAAAGACATTTTTTACAAAAGTCAGTTGAGTTTGGACGGCGAACTCAACTGAGCTCACTCGACAGGAAAACTATTTTGCGTTGCTAATGTTTGCAGACATGATTCGAATGTTGTCCGCGCGAAAATCGAAGCTCGCATGCACCTTATGAGTATGATCCAGTGCTTAATTGCGCAATGTTCATACGCAAAAACCTGTTGCGCCTCTTTGGATATGCGCTGAAAATTTATTTGCAGTTGAAATTGAAAAAATAGCAAAATTTTAAAAATTCGTAATTTTAGGATCAGGATTGTTGGAAGATATGCACAACAAGTTCACTCAACTGGTCGTCAGTCGGCAGATCAAACTGCTCAGTTTCACGGAAGGAGAGGTCACGAACCTGCCGTTCAAAATGAAGGCCAAGATTGTATCTGAAGTTTCGAGCGGTTGGTCGTGATGATAAGTTGGTCATTCGATTGGTTGACTGATTGATAAGCTCGTCATTCGATTGGTTGACTGATTGATAAGTTGGTCATTCGATTGGTTGACTGATTGATAAGCTGGTCATTCGATTGGTTGACTGATTGATAAGTTGGTCATTCGATTGGTTGACTGATTGATAAGCTGGTCATTCGATTGGTTGACTGATTGATAAGTTGGTCATTCGATTGGTTGACTGATTGATAAGTTGGTCATTCGATTGGTTGTTTGATTGGTCGATGGACTGTTTAATGATGCATCCTATTTCGCTTTTTCATTCAAGAATTTTTTCTTGAATTTTTTAATATCTATTCCATGTTTCCTTGAACATTCAGATCCAGGTCTTGGAGAGTTCTACATAATGAAGGATTTGAACCACATCAACATTTGCAAGCCGGCCAGCAAAAAATCACAGATATACATAAGAACCAGAGAGTTCATCAGATCTTGCGCTTATAAAGATAAAGCAATCTAATCGAAATTGAACACTATTTAATATTTTCACGTTTCAATAGTTCCATATTTTGTATAATTTATTTATTTTGAATTGCTTTTAATTGTATCAATATAAATTGTGCAATATCATTATGAGCTTTGAAAATGTAATTGATGAAGTAAATAGCCACTAAATACGCTGTCACACTCCTCCTCCTTTGCCTCACTGACTCTATTTTGAATAAAAATTTCATACATATTGTTTGTGATTTCCAACGCAAGATGCATGTAGAAGGTTCATCGGGTAGTTTATTACATTTGTTAAAATTTTGTGTCTTTCAAATAAGTTATTTTATTTATTAAAAGTAAAACTAACCTATCTGTTTATTAATTAGGTTACCAAAAATTCTTATGACGAGAAACACGTGTGTGTGTGTGTTGTATTTGTGTGTGTGTGTGTGTGCGTGTACAAATACGTAAATGGTTTCATTACGTGACGAATTAATTATATGATATAAAAAAAATATCTTGAAATTATCATTTACAGACCAGACTCGTCTTTTGTCCACAATCACGAAAGTCCATCGCATCGTACCGACCGCAACATTCGACTCAGCCGACAAAATTTTAATAATAAATTAATATTAAATAATTTTTAATTTATTTAATTTAATAATATAATATAATAAATAATTTTTAATTTATATAATTTTAAATAAATTTTTAATAATAAAATTCACAATTAACTTCTTTTAACTTTTTATTTCGTTTTCTTCAACAATTGCTTGGAGGTTTTTAAAGAAAATACGAGTTAACGCAAGAAACTCTGTTCTAATCTTTCCCTAAGTTTCATATTTCCATAACTGGTAAATGTAACAGTGAAATATTGAAAAGTTATTAAGTGACGCAAACAACCTCTTGTGTGTGGTAACTCAATGATTTCGCGCGCGCACACACACACACACACCACACACACACACACGTACGGGTTGCTTGTTGTGGTTGGTGCCGCCTCAAACTCATAACGTTGGCATAAATAAACATATTTATTATTTAATAATAGTCAAGATATACAAAAGGATTAAAAACATGGATGACTTTTTTATCACTCTTAAAAAATCAGAATCTGACAGATTATGAAGTGACATCAAGCCCATTAGAAAATTGTGGAATAATATTTGCATACTGTGGTCACGAAGTTCTGTGTTTTTAGACGGAATGAAAATTTAATGAAGATAACGATGAAATCTTGATGGAATAGCGATGAAATGGTGGAATGAGGTAAATGCAATTGAAGCAATTTAGTTAGAAAATAACTGCACGTATAACAAGCTTGCATAATTTCTTAATTTTAATTTGAATAAAAATTTACGTTTATAACTCGAAAAAACTAGATGATGCATGCACGGTGAATGAATGAACAGCTGAAAGATGGAGAGAAAAAAGTAGATGAAAAAAGTGGGACAAGATTAAAGCTGGAAAAATTAAATGTTTTGGAAATTCCCACTTTAACGCCTACCAACGCTTCTAACTATAGAACTGTGTCAACCAATGGCAGTGAAGACTGAACGACTGCTGGTTGATAGAATTTTTAACGATTTACGTTAATGGTTTTATGGATGGCAGAAACTTTTTTTAAATTTCATTAGTTTAATTAATTATCGTAAAAATTATTCCGCTATACGCAATAATTGAATTGTTTAATTCATCAGAGGGAGAGAGCGAGAGAGTGAATGAAAGACTGACATATCAATCATAACACGCTTAAACTCATCTAATTGAATTAGCAAACAGAGGTTTTTAATATGTTATTCTATTACACACGCAAACACTACGCACACCAGACATACAGACGCAACACGCACACACTTGAATATGAAAACACATACAAATGTATACACGTACGTACGTATACATGTACCTCTTTAAACAAGACAAGTTTAAACAAACCTCTCGGCAGAAGAAAAATTAGACTTGAAATTCAGTTAACTAAGTAAATAACTTCTAAGCGTTTTTTTTCCGATTAACTTCATTTAATATCGATCACTTTTGTCTGCAGAAGTCTTATTCGACGATGATGATGACCACATAAAAGGAAACTTTGATCCTTGACCTTTGAACTTTGAACCTCACAGAAGTGTCAATCAAAGAAGTGTCCTGACAATCCTGTCATTTACTTTGAAGTGCAAACAAACTCATCCGTCTAACGGCCTGTGGAGTAATTTGAAATAAAATACGAAAATATTTTATTATATACAAAGAGGATGTAATCGTTGTAAGATGCCTGGCTAACTCTTTTCTAATGCCAAAACACATAAAATGTTTGACGTGTTAATTTGCGTGTATTTACATGTGTTGTTTGTTTGTCAGCTGTTGGTTTAATCTCTTGAGAAATTCTAGAGAAGGAATTGCGAAAAAAATTTACTCTTCAGAAATTTCCCCCCAAAAAAACGTAATAAAAATTATGGCGGACACAACGTACATATGAATGAACCCAGACCAAGCTTGGCGGATCTTCATGGATTTGAATCCGACCACTATAGCGTGCACACTCAGCCCTAGTGAACAGGCGAATGTATGCAACATATTATGTATATAACATAATAATAAATTAAATTATTTCTATGAAAATTATAGTTAATTATATTAATAATTAATCGTGTCAAAATGAAATTAGCATAGTTTTACAATGACGTGGGACATGCAACTATTCTTTAAAAATCACATAGCAATTATTTTTAATTACATATATTATTTACATATTTTTAATTACATATATTATTTACATATTTTAATTACATATATTATGCCTCATTATATTAAATTACATTGTATTACATTACATTTCATTACAGTACCTTAAATTACATTATAGTATTAACTATAACTATAATAATAATACTATTCTTACTAATAAATATTATTATTATCCTCAACAAATCATCAATATCATTTTCCTCATCATTATCACCTTTCTTATCGGTAACAATTTATTCCTCTTGCATCAATAAATAAACATTCCGCTCATCATCATCACCTTTCATCTTCATCATCGTCATTATCATCGTCTTCATCATCATCATTATCACCACCATCGTCATCATCACATCATTATCACCACCATCGTCATCATCACATCATTATCACCACCATCGTTATTATCATCACCATCATCGTCATCGTCATCACCACCAACGTCATCAATCATCACCATCATCGTCATCATCCCAACCATCATCATAAAAATACGTTAGTAAACAAAAATATAAACACTGTCAAAATGTGTGTTAGAACCTGCCCACACATGTAGCCATATGTTTACTCATTTTAGTATACATTCATTCGTTCTTTCATTCATTCAGTCATACATTCATTCGCTTATTCATTCATTTATCTATTCAATATTTCATTCTAATTGTTCAATCGTTCGTTCGTTCGTTCTTTTGTACGATTTTTATTCTTTCATTCATCTAATCATTCACTCACCTATTCACGCAATATTTTGCTCATAAACTTCATTAAATCATTGATTGGCTGATTGGTTGATTGATTGAATGATTGATTCAAAGATTAAATGATTGATTACTTAATTAATTAATATCCAAA